CCTAAAAGTTATGAACATATAAAATTAACAGCCCCCTCGATTTGATCAATCTTTGCTCATTTAAATACTAAAAAAATATTATAAGGTATTTTATTAATTATTTTAGCAATAAATAGTTAGAAATGGTAAAAACTTTTAAAATTCGAATGTATTAAAATATGAAATGATTTTAACAAAAACAAAAAGTAAATATATTAAAAGTTGTATGTTAGGCCGACTTCCATGGGTCTAACATACATACGTATTGAAATTTATAAATATATATGTATACATATATATTTTCTGTTTCAGTATAAGGTTTTCAAATATGTGAATATTCAATATTTAACTTGTTGGCTATTTGACGAGATAACACTTGGTTTTAAATAAAAATAGATTTGTAACATGTTTTTTCAGATAATCTCAACCATGATTTTGGAGTTTCATGCTGTATTACTTCACTCGTTATGAGGCTTTTTCAATACAGTATATATATATATATATATATATATATATATATATATATATATATATATATATATATATATATATATATATATATATATATATATATATATATATATATATATATATATATATATATATATATATATACTGTATTGTATTACATAGTATACTATGCTTGGACATATATTATTATTTTTAATATTTTATTATTTTTCAGAGTTTGATTTATATGCATTAATTGTGTTTGCATACAATTGTTGTAATCGTGTTGTAATATAATATGCACACAAATTTATTGGATACAAATTGTATATAATATATAATTAAATGATTATGATATATTATAAAAACTATATTTTATAGTTTATATTACCTATATTATAAAAACAAATATAAACTAAATGCTATATAAACTATGTAACATAATACATTTATATTTAACTTATATATAAATATTTTATCTTACATACTTTATAAGTAACTTGTGAACTTTTTTTTACATATATTTATATATATATATATATATATATATATATATATATATATATATATATATATATATATATATATATATACATATATATATATATACATATATATATATATATATATATATATATATATATGTATATATATATATATATATATATATATATATATATATATATATATATATATATATATATATATATATATATATATATCTTTAGTTATGACTAGGAGTGTTTAAACTATTTATTTATAGAATGTAGAAATTTGTTTTGTTTTTTATTTGTTTATCTTTCCATTGACTTTTTAACCACAATAACTGCAAATAACTATATTGCATCCGTGCATATATTACATACATATTTAAATATGTATGTAATATATGCTAAAATAATTAATAAAATATACATACATCTATAATGTATGTATGTATGTATTAATAAAAACAATCCTGCCTGCCTGTCAAAGACAAAATCAGATGTGTTTTTGTTAATTTTAATAAATTAGCAAAAATACATCTAATTTTGTCTCTGTTATAGCACTCTATTTTTAAAATACACTAACATATCTTTTATATATATATATATATATATATATATATATATATATATATATATATATATATATATATATATATATATATATATATATATACATATATATATATATATATATATATATATATATATATATATATATATATATATATATATATATATATATATATATATATACATATATATATATATATATATATATATATATATATATATATATATATATATATATATATATATATATATATATATATATATATATATATATATATATATATATATATATATATATATATATATATATATATATATATATATATATATATATATATACATATATATATATATATATATATATATATATATATATATATATATATATATATATATATATATATATATATATATATATATATATATATATATATATATATATATATATATATATATATATATATATATATATATATATATATATATATATATATATATATATATATATATACTCACATCAATGTAATTATGTATTGTGATTATAGGGTAGCCTAGCAACAGCTTACTAAAAGTTAATGTTAAAAAAATATCTTTTAATCTTGAAAAAAAATTGAATACTAATATCAGTAAATATTTTAAGAAAGATTAACAGTTCATCTATCTGAAAAAGTTAAAGTTTAAAAATTTCTACGCTCAAAATTTTTTTAAAAACAATTTGAAAACGATAAACAAAACACACTAAAAAAGCTATTGCTGTAATTACATTTTATTCGTTTTTAGAGGTTTTATATTTAATTTGAAACATTTTATCGTGTACTAGAAGTTACTTTTATTATAATTTCCTTTTAATAAACGGCTAAATCCATATTTAATTGCTAAAAATTAGAAAAATAGCTCGTTGTCAATGAGAATTTTTTTTATATTCGTTATCCGTAGCCATTTTTAAAACTTTTAAAATATGCAAACTTTACTACGCTTGCGTATAATAACTTTCCAATTATTTAGTAAGTCTGAACGACCGTGTTATATATTCCACGCGGTCATTCGAGTAAAATCAGCAATCAAATTGGAGCTGATACATTTATTTTCAAGAAGAATTAATGTTGTTTATTTTTTAAAATAAAAATTTAAATAATTGTTAGTTTGCTATGTATATATATATATGTATATCTATATGTATTTTCTCTTAGCAAAAATAATTGAGAATAGAAAAATAAAAAAAAATTCTTCTGGAATTTGTCAAAAGGGTGTTGTGTTATTCTTCATTTTAATGTATCTAAATATGTATTTATTTTTCATTTTTTAGAATAAGTTAGAACTAAATTGACTGGTAAAATAGTTTTTTTAGTACAATGTTTCTTTTTTAAGAAAACAGTTTTGTCGTTAGTCTTTTTAAAACATTTTAAGCAGTATTTGTTTTATTTTTTAGAGCAGTTAAGAAGAGCTGATCGCTTTTTTAGTAAGTTCAAGTTATTTTCTCATACATTAATTAAGGTTTTCGATTTATTTCAGTCTATTTTATATTTCTCTATATCTATATATATATATTCTCTAAGGAAAAATAATAAGGAATAAAAAAATTAAGAAAATTTCTTCTGGAATTTGTCAAAAGAGTGTTGTGTTATGCTTCATTTTAAGGTATCTAAATATGTATTTATTAGAAATTTTTTTAAACCAAGTTTAAAAAAGTTGTTAAACCAAGGAAATTGTAGAGGTTTATTTATCAATATATACTATAAATTATATAATAATATTGGAGGGAGTAAGTTAAAAAGCATTTTTATATTTTTAAAAAGAAATAAAAATACTTTTCAATATATATCTGTTTTTTTTGAGGTAGATTTAAAGTTTCAGGTTTTCAAAATTGTAGATCTTTTTAATGTATAAATAGACATTAAGTATTTCTAAGTAGACATTACGTATATATAAAATCTTTTTAAAATTTAATAAGTAATTATTTGTTTAAATAAGTAGTTAATTGTTATAATTTATTAAGATTTAAATTATTAGAAAGTTCATGTTTACAGAGTTGTTATTAATCATTATCGAGTTGTTGAACCAAAGAAATTGTAGAGGTTTATTTATCAAATATATACTATATATATTATATAAAAAATTACTATATATATCCTTGGAGTTGCGGCAGCATAACAGTGTGTTAGGAGAAAAAAATTTATAAACCCGCGTTAATAACCTGTTTTCTATCGTACATAATGCATTAATAATGCATTAATAATGCATTAATAAGTTTTATTACGTGTTTTGTTCAATGTTTTCTCCCAACGCATGAATTATGACGCTGTCGCAATTTTATTTTATTTTTTATTAGAAATAAAATAAGTTTTAATAAGTTTTTGCTGATGTGGTTGCAGGTTTTTCTTAACTTCTATCAAATAAACTTAAGAAACCTGTATTACTTTTGATGATGGCAAATTAATTTTATTTTGCATTTGTTTGGTTTCTTTATATATATTTGTTTTGAAAATTTTTTTTTTTAATTTTTCGAGTATGATTTTTTTAGTTATTAAGTTATTTTATTTTATTGTTAACTTTAGATTAGTAAAAAAAAAAGAAATAATTAGTGTTGCTTTGATAAATATGTTTAATGAAAATGATGACATTGAAATGGATGATAGGCTAGATGTAGTTTTGTATTTACAAGGTGATGTAAGTGCTATAAGGCGTGTTGAAAATAATTATAGACGAAATGAAAGAAATAGACTTAGGCGAGATAAAATTAATTGTTTACAAAATGAAAGAAATAAGCTCGATCGAGATAATGTTAATCGTCGCCAAAATGAAAGAAATAGGCTTGATCGAGATAATGTTAATCATCGCCAAAATGAAAGAAATAGGCTCTATCGAGATAATGTTAATCGTCGCCAAAATGAAAGAAGAGCTGTTGGACAAGGACGAATGTATTCTATAGCAAGAAGTAATGCTATTCCAGATTATAATTATTTAGGAGAAATGAATCAAATTTGTCAGCACTGTGGTGCTAAGAAATTTCCAGATGAAACACATTTTCTATGTTGCCATAATGGTAAGGTAGCTTTGCCTCCACTTTCACCAATTACACAAGCTTTACAGGATTTGTTTACAGGGAGTTATGTAAATTGTAATGCTAATGCTAATTTTTTAAAACATATTCGAAATTATAATGCCTGCCTTTCTTTTGCTTCTTTTACAGCAAATGTAGTTCAACCAATGAATCATGGGCTTCCATGTTTTAAAATATGTGGCCAGATTTTTCATCGTGTAGGTAATCTTAGGCCAGATCAAGATATTCCACCAATATATTCTCAACTATATATTTATGATCCACTTGCTGCACTAAATTTTAGAATGCAACACTATGCTAATGATCTTTATTTACGTGATTTAATGTTTCAATTGCAAGCTATAGTTATGGAACAAAGTCCATTTGCTCTTGCATTTAAAAACATGGCTGAAGTAGAAGATGAAGAAATTCGTAAGGCGGCTATAGAAGGTCGCTCAGCTTCTTTTGTAAAAATGTCTTTACTTGAAGGCGGTGATAGACGTCGTTATAATCTACCTTCACATGATGAAGTTGTAGTTGTATTTGTTGGCGAAGATGGTACTCCCCCAACTTCCAGGGAAGTTGTTATTTACCCAAGAGGTCATCCTTTAAAAATTGTATCAAGTAAGTCAGCCAACTTGGATCCTATGATTAATCCGCTATTTTTTCCAAGAGGTGATGCTGGTTGGCATAATCAATTGGTGCATAACCCTGAGCGTGCCACACTGGTTAGAAATCATGTTACATTATCTCAGTTCTACAATTATAGACTTTCGGTTAGGCAATTTTTCTGTTCATTATTTTATGGCAAGAAACTATTTCAGCAATATGATGTAGATGCATATGTAAAAATTGAAGGCCAGCGTCTTGCTTTTATCAGAAATAATCAAAATAAGCTGAGAAGCGAGCAGTACGATGCCTTACATGAACATATTAACAACATTGCCAATGATCGTAATATTAGACCAGGACGAGTAGTAGTTTTGCCATCATCTTATGTAGGAAGTCCTAGAGCTTTAAAAGAAAACTTTGAAGATGCTATGGCAATTATCAAAAAGTATGGTAAACCAGATCTTTTTATAACTTTTACTTGCAACCCAAAATGGCGTGAAATAACAGAAAATTTATATCCGGGTCAGAATGCGAATGATAGACCTGATTTGGTTACTCGAGTATTTAAACTCAAGTTAAATAACCTCCTCAATGATATATTCAAACATGGTGTATTAGGCAAAGTTGTAACGCATGTTCAGGTTATTGAGTTTCAAAAGCATGGTTTGCCGCATGCCCACATTTTACTTCATTTAGCAAATGATGATAAACTTGAAACATCACAGGATATCGATAATTTGGTTTGTGCAGAAATTCCAGATCCGATTGTTAATTGTGAACTTTATGATATTATCAAAACTTGCATGATTCACGGCCCATGTGGGATACTGAATCCAAATTCTCCCTGCATGAAAGATGGGGTGTGCAGCAAAAATTATCCTAAAGATTTTAATGCCAACACAGTAGCTGTTCACAATGGTTATCCGCGCTATAGGTGTCGTGATAATGGGTTGGTTATCAATATTAAAGGCAACAATGTAGATAACCGTTGGATGGTACCTTATAATTCTTGGTTATCAAAGAAATATCAAGCCCACATTAATGTTGAAGCTTGCATGCTTGTAAAGGCTGTTAAATATTTGTATAAATACATATACAAAGGGCATGATTGTGCGAATGTTTTGATAAATGAACAGGTTAATCACGATGAAATAAACACTTTCTTAGATTGTCTTTATGTTAGTGCACCTGAGGCACTGTGGCGAATATTTGAGTATCCCATAAGTCATATATCACACTCTATTATCCGTCTTAAGGTTCATCTTCCTGAGAATCAGATTGTGTATTTTAGAGAAGGAGAAGAACAAGTGGCGTTAGATCGTGCTGCTCAACGTGATACACACCTTACGGCCTGGTTTAAATTGAATTCTGAAAATGAAGGAGCCAATCGCTACTCATATGTTGACATTCCATATCACTTTGTATTTGATGATAAACATTGTAAATGGAAAGTTAGACAAAGAGGTGGAAATAAGGTGATAGTAAGAATGTATAAAGTTAGTCCAACAGGAGAGTTATTTTTTCTTAGATTGTTACTTTTACAAGCAAAAAGAGCAAAATCTTGGGAGGATTTGCGTACTGTTAATGGAATAGTTCTTGAAACCTTTCGTGAAGTGTGTGTTTTTAATGGTTTGTTGCAAGATGACACTGAATCGCAGAATACTCTTTCTGAGGCAGTTTTAACGCGAATGCCTAAGCAAATCAGGCAGCTGTTTTCAATTATTTTAATCTTTTGTGAACCTGATGACCCTTTGCATCTTTGGAATTCATACAAAGCTTTTATGATGGAGAATTTCATTCATCGCCAAGTTCCATTTATATTAGCTGAACAAGCTACTCTTCTTCAAATCGAAAAGATTATTAATAAAAGTGGTAAAACGCTATCTGATTATAATTTGCCTGTTGTTGATGAATTCATAGATTTTAATCTAGAAAATTTAAATGATAATGTTCAGCAATCAATTGACGAAGCTAATAGAATGAGACCGCTTCTTAATGTCAATCAATTAAATGTAAGTAATGCTGTCCTTGCTGCATTGAACGAGCAACCATGTGTAGAAAATCAACATTCTAGATTGTTTTTTATGGATGGACCAGCCGGTAGTGGCAACACTTTTACATATAATTATTTGATTGCTGAAACGAGAAGTAGGGGTGTTAAATCTGCTACAGCTGCATGGACTGGCATAGCGGCAACTCTTCTTACAAATGGATCCATGCTGCACGGCTTATTTAAACTTCCTGTTTCAATACTGGATAACAGCACATGTAATGTGACTCCTAACTCTATTCAGGGACAATTTTTAAGGCAAGTTAGTTTGTTTATGCTTGACGAGACATCCATGATTCCCAAACACGCTTTAAATGCAATCGATCGGTTGTTAAAAGATGTTTGCAACAACAACTTTCCATTTGGAGGAAAAGTCATTTTTTTTGGTGGTGACTTTAGGCAAATTTTGCCTGTTGTGAAAAGAGGGAGACCAGCTGAAGTTGTAGAATCATGTATAAAATGTTCTTTACAGTGGCAATGGGTGCAGAAGTTTACATTAACTGAAAATATGAGAGTACGTGATGGAGAAGGAGATTTTTCCGAATGGCTGTTAAAACTTGGTAGTGGAACAATACCTGGCAAGGAGGAAGATCCTTTTAAGGGATGTATTGAAATACCGCAACAGTGCATTATTAGAGAAAACGAATCCATTGTTGAAAAAATATTTGGAGATGCTCAACAAGATGATTATGCTAAACGTGTCATTTTAACACCCACTAATGTGGATTCATTGTCAATCAATGAAGAAGTGCTTGAACGTCTACATGGAGAGGTCAAAACTTATTTAAGTGCTGATCAAATAGACACTGACGATCTTAATGAAATAAATAATTTCCCTGTTGAGTTTTTGAACAGCTTAACTCCTTCAGGTATGCCTACTCATTGTTTAAAATTGAAAATTGGTTGTGTAATTATGCTACTTAGAAATTTAGATCTTAAAGCTGGGCTATGTAATGGAACCCGAATGAAAGCTTGTGCTCTCCAAAACAATTATATTGATGCAGAGGTTTTGACAGGTGTTTCTGAAGGTAAACGGGTATTTGTTCCTCGAATTCAGTTGGCTCCATCAGATTCTAATTTACCTTTTGTTCTAAAACGTCGTCAGTTTCCTGTCACCTGTCAGATTAGCTTATTTGATGACAATCAATTAAAGTCTAGGTCAAACATTTGATAGAGTTGGGGTATATCTAAAAAAAACCGTGTTTCTCCCATGGTCAACTATACGTTGCATGTTCAAAAACTAGAGCATTTAATAGTTTGTTTTTCAAAATTGATAAACATCCTATTCAAGGTATGGTAGGTGAAAAATACTACACAAGTAATGTTATATTTTCTAATGTTCTTAATTTATAGTCTTAATATTTTTGTTTCTAAAATTTACTGTTTGTAGGTTGCGAGCACATTTTGTATGTGTAACTTTAATATTTTTATTTTTTTCATAGTTTTTGATAAATATATTTGTCATTTAATATTGTTATATATTGTGTTTATATGTGTTATATGAAGTCATATTTGTTTATAGTTGTATATATGTTTACATTATGTTGTTTCCATGTTTTCAAAGTGGTGTGACTTGGCAAAATGTTAGGCAAGATTGTTAACCTTGCCAGCCAAGCGGTGTACTTATAGCAGAGGTGTGACTTGGCACCATTTTGTGCCAGGCGGTGTTACTGCTTTAGAGCTAGGTTGTGTTGTCTAGCTTTTTTTAATTATTCTGGAAACACATAATGTCTTGTAATGTTTTGTGTAATGTGTATAAAAGAGTATGCAACCTTGATCCTTAAATTTAAAATAATTGACTAACTAATATTGAATATAAAAGCAAATATACTATATTAAAGTTTAGTAAAAGGATAAATATAGATAACTCAAAATTGGTTTTTTAGTTTTGCCTTTCATATTCTTTTAAAATTGGTTTGTTATTTTCCACTGGATTTTAGAGTCAAGGGTGTAAATATTAGTTATATAGGTGTGAATATGTGTTAATGTTATGTGTTATTGTTATAATGTTGTAATGTATTGTTATAATGCATAATATTATTATATTGTTGTGATGTTTTGTGTTGATAGACAGCTTGGCTTACCTTCCCGTTGGTGTCTATCGTTAAAAATGAATAATAGATAGTTTCATTATTCGAACTTGCTGCTTTTATTCATTTACTAAAAGCCAAGACAAAATCTTGCTAAAAATTCAATTTATGTCTTTATTTGATTTTTTTTTTCTTTAGTATTGTTAATCCTTTAGTACTTCGAAAAAGATTTTATAGCTACTTTTTTCTATAAATATTTATATTAACTGCAATAAAAAAGCATTTTACTTTCAAAAAAAAAGGTCTACTCTTTGGTCTTTTAGCTTTTTTGATACAATTTTTAGCATTTTTTTTATAGGGCTTATATTTCAACAACTAAGTAAGTTACTATAATGCTCTTCTTTATTTTTTTTTTTTTTTTTTTTTGTCATTTTTTTCTTTTTTAATTTTTTTTTTTTTGGTTTGTTTTGTGATTGTTATTTTTGGCTTTTGTTTTGTTCCAGCTTTATTTATAGATTTCCTAAAGTTGACAAATATTCTGCATGTTAGTTTCTTTCTTAATGTTAATGAGTTGCTTTTTTTTGTATTCTATTTAGAAAAATTAGAAAATTCAATTGGTAAGCAAAGTTCACTTATGTTTCATTTTGTTTAATTGTAACACACATTTATTGATGTTTGTGTGTGGTTTTATCACTTAAAATAAACTGTTTAATTGATTAGTATATGTTAGTTTATGTAAATATATTTTTTACCTCCACTATAGCGTCATCTACAGTACCATCAGGTAATGTGTTTTGCATTCTTATGCAGTTTTAAGAGTGTTATGTGTGTTAAAACTTAAAGATAGCATATCTTAATTTACAGAATGCTTTATTTATTTATTTTTTTGTCTCTACATTAACACCTCAAGCAATAATATCAGGTAATCTGTTTAGCATACTTATGCAGTTTTTTTGGTTTTATGTGTATTGAAACTTAAATATTTTTTTTTTCATGTTTTCATGCGATTTCATAAATGTTTAACATGTGTTACTTCATACACTTTTTTTTTTTTATTTTCACAATAGCATCAATATCATCTGCAGTGCCATCAGGTAATGTGTTTTGCATACTTATGCAGTTTTATGAGTGTTACAAGTATTGAAACTTAAACATTACTTTTTTCATGTTTGTTATCAATTACATAAATGTTTAACATATGTTACTTTATACACTTTTTTTTTTTTTTACCTTCACAATAGCATCAATATCATCTGCAGTACCATCAGGTAATATGTTTTGCATACTTATGCAGTTTTATGAGTGTTATGTGTATTATAACTTAAAGATTGCATATCTTATTTTCCACATCACTTTATTTATTTAACTTTTTGTCTCTACATTAACACCTCAAGCAATAATATCAGGTAATCTGTTTAGCATACTTATGCAGTTTTATGGGTTTTATGTGTATTGAAACTTAAATATTTTTTTTTCATGTTTTCATGCAATTACATTAATGTTTAACATATGATACTTTATACACTTTTTTTTTTTTACTTTCACAATAGCATCAATATCATCTGCAGTACCATCAGGTGATGTGTTTTGCATACTTATGCAGTTTTATGGGTTTAATGTGATTTGAAACTTAAACATACTTTTTTCATGTTTGTATGCAATTACATAAATGTTTAACATATGTTACTTAATACACTTTTTTTTTTTACTTTCACAATAGCATCAATATCATCTGCAGAACCATCAGGTGTTGTGTTTTGCATAACACTGTATAACAGTTTTATGAGTGTTATGTGTATTGGAACTTAAACATTACTTTTTTCGTGTTTGTATGCAATTACATAACTGTTTAATATGTGTTTGTTTATATACTTTTTTATTTATTTCAGCAATAGCAACAGTATCAACTGCAGTACCACCAGGTGATGTGTTTTCCATACTTATGCAGTTTTTCCATACTTATGCAGTGTTATGTGAATTGAAACCTAAACATTACTTTTTTCATGTTTGTATGCAATTACATAACTGTTTAATATATGTGTTAGTTCATATTTTTTATTTATTTTTATAATAGCAACAATATCTGCAGGACCATCAGGTAATCTGTTTTGCATGCTTATGCAGTTTTATGGGTGTTATGTGTATTTGTGTAGGTATATATGAAATTTAAACATTGCGTATCCTTATTTTTACATTACTTAATTTTTTTTTTTTTTTTTTTGTCATAACTTTTTTTTTTTAAAGTCTAAATAGTTTTAAATAATATTTTTATTGGTTGTTTGTGCAGTATTGTATTCAAATTTATTTCTTTTTTTGTTTTTGTTTTTTAGCATTGCATCAAGATTTCCTGCGATATCGCTCCCAGCACCCAGGTCCAATATCTCAAAGAGCTTTCTACCGTTGGTGTCAATATGGGGGAGATGATCCCTCCTTTAGATGGAGAAGACAAGTCCAATATGACACCATTGGTAGAAGGAGGGGTGCTGGGAAGCAGTTCAGCTCTTTTAATTTCTACCAGTAGCTTTTTTAAGCTACTGGTAGAATTATTTTTATCTTTAAATATAAAGAAAATTGACTTTTTTAAAAAATGATTTTTTTAATTTTGCAATTTTTTATTATTTTAATTTTTATACTTTCAATAATTTATTTTTTTGATTTTTAATTCTGTTTTTTAAATCCTAAACTTACAAAAGAACTCTTATGTTATAAAAATTTTTAATAATTTGTCTATAAGTTTTTTTATTAATTTACGTTTTTACATCTTTTTATCTTTATTTTTAATTTTAACAATACTAAATTTTCTTTTGTATTAACTTTTATTTGTTAAGTGTTGTATAGTTTTTGAAAGATTTGGTAAATATATTTAAAATTTTTCTATTTCTATGATATCTGTTTAATATGTCTAATATATGCACTATACACCTATTAATCTCTTTACATTATTCTCTTTAGATATATTATAAAATAGTATTTAAAATCAGTTGTCAGCCACATGTGGTCTATATGATGCAACATGTTTGCAATTGTTGGCATGTCATTTTTAGTTTAGTATTATTAAAATTAATTTAGTGTTATTAAAATTAATTTGTAACTAATTTTGCTTTTTAATATTACCGTTAATATGACTTTTAAAATAATAAAATTGTTTATTTGTTTCAAAAAACACTGTTTTATTACTTACAATATAGTATGTTATTACAAGATACTTCTGACTTTTTCTCTGTTTCAAACCAGTTTAGTTATAACTTTTGTTCACAAATTTTTTTAGACGCTTTACACATAGTTTCATAGATTTAAACTGATAAATAGCACTTTATTGTTTTTGTTCATTTTAGATTAGTATAGCAAAAAATTAATCAGATATGCGTTTATATATCTTTATTTATATTTATGTGCTTAAGTTTATATAAGTTTATATTAAGTTGTTATAATCAATTTAAAATCAAGTTATAATCAATTTAAAAGTCTTTCAAATCGTTAATCATTTTCTAAAGGCTAAAAAGAAGAATCGTCAATCTTCATACCATTTAATAAAGCTATTTTAATAAAACGCAATACAAATTGTTGTAAATTAGTATTTGAATAATTTTCACGTTGTTACCTTATTTTGCAGTTTCCTATCACTTTGTATTGAATTAACTAAATCCAATATTACAGTTCCTTATATCAAGTACTTAACATTTTCTGTTTTTGTTTTATGCAGAAAAACAGATCAAGTTAATTTATTTGACTTGCCTAGCTACTTATTTTACACGCCTAGTCACAGTGAGTGTGCATAAATCAACAGAGGATTTGGGTTTGGGCAGGTTGTCTTGAACTAAATGATTTACCTTCTTCATTTTAAGATCTAAATATAAATATACGGGAAAGGTGCATATGTGAATTTTTTTTTCCAGCACATAATCTATTGTTCACTAAAAAATATTAGAGGGAGAAATAGAGATAAGGTTAATGTGGAATAGAATTTGTCCTTTTAAGTGAAAAACTATTTTATAATCTATCTATCTTCTATATAATAATGCCGAACTTAATAGTAGTGTTAGTAGAAAGAGTCGCAGCACTTTTTTTATAAAAAAACGTGTATGCAAATATCTAACGTACGTAATTAAGTAATAATAAAACATGCTGAAACATTTTTCAA